TTCTGTTTGGCTGCTATTAGTGATGAGATTATTGGAATGTGTATCAAAGTTTTTAAGGCCGATATGGTTACACACAGACCTGTTGCAGGTGTCTACCGGATGGTCGCCTTGTGCATAGTTATTTGGGGGATGGAGTACATATCTGGGTGAGTAGTCAAGATCTACATCATCGGGCTGGCTATTGTAGGGAGGCTTACATGTACTCCGTGGACCGCTACTCAGGATGGCCGATTGTAAAATATTTGATTGTTTGGGGTCAGCCGAACTGTCCAAATACTGCTCACAACATGTGATGCTATTGTTTGGACTGGCAGATGGTGTCGACTCTAACGGCATATGACTGCTCTTATTTATATCCACAAGCGATATACAAGATAGTGAAATACATTTCCAGTATAATAATAATATGTTTCTACAAAAGCAGGTACACGCCATTTTTACAGGCATGATCAGAGAATTTGTTGGCTCACATTATGCACTCACGTAGGGTCGTTAAATAGATATAACCAATAAAAGTAAATAACAGTACATTCTTGCAGATGTCCTGGAGCGTTTATGATTGGTTCAATGAATCAGTGCTACACTGGGCACAGTCTTCAAAACATTTTTCAAATTGGCGTTGCGTCCACGTTACATATCAGATCCAATCTCAGCATAATTGTGCTAGAATTTCTGTTGTGCTGAGTATTCATGCAATACAACGTTTTAAGTTTATAGTTGTTATAAAGTAGACTTGCTGAGCGCTTGATGTGAACTACAACCTTGAGAGAATGCATACGTCAAGTTTGTTCCAGACATCAGAAGTTACATAGCCGTGCTCTCAGAGTGAGATTCTGAAAAAAGAAACAGAGGAGCAGCAAGACACTTGGATATGAACGATAAACTATACTTAACATTTTGTGGTGAAACAAACAGAAGTACAAATTCATATTAGCTCTTGTAGCTAGGGTGAAATGTGATCAGAGGCTCCAGATGAGAGAATTCAGTAATAAAGAACAATGAGTTGTGATACATGTCAAGGTAGAGTAAGTTCAGACGATGGGAGAGAAGTTAAGGTTGGAAAGTGCATTTAGAGAGTGAAGTGTTAAGAAAAGTAATAACTACATCCTTTATTGTGTGACTTTTCTTTTTTCTCCACCCGATGCCTGCCACACAGTCCTAATGTAAAAGTTTGAGTTGGCATATCATAAGTTGTCGTAGTAGAATAGCTAATCCAGCATAAAATCGTAAACTTGAGTCTGAGTGGTGAGCACGTTGATTTTAGTAAGGCTTTCAATAGTGTCTCACAAAAACTTCTCCTCCTAAAGCCTTCTTCATTCGGCATGCAGAATCTCCTCTTATCTTGACTCAACTCGTTTTAAGCAGAACGTAGCCAAATGGTCCTCTTCGCATCTTGCTACTCTAAGCCTGTGAATGTAACCAGTGGGGTTACACAAGGAAGTGTAACTGGTTCATTACTCTTTCTCCTTTCCTATTTACCGAAAACCTAAAAGTGGTTTATTCATTTTCATCTCCCACTAAAGAATATTGTAGGATTGTTTACCAATGTGGGCGTAAAAGTATATAAATATATATTAGTTATAGATAAGGTAACTAGTGGTGAAATAATATTAATGGCAAGTCAACATAGTGTACAGGAGAGTAAGAAACCGATAAAGAATGGACAAGAAGAAACTCACATTAATCTGGTGCTGATTTTATTTTGTTCTGTCCTAACCGGTTGATGGGTAACAGGTTCCATAGATGCAAGACCACTGATAGTGAGCAGACGATTGTGCGTCCCTAAGCAACCGACTTTAATTGAACAGTATCGATAGGTCCAGCGAGTTACCTGTCTATTTCAAGTGAAAAATTAGGGAGGAAAACGTATCTATTACAACTGCAAAGTAGGAAAGTAAGGCAAACTGAAGTTAGAGTCTAATATTGTCCACATATTTAGAGAGTCTATAATGTCTGAGTGGGACGCAGATGTAGTCGTTCCTGCTACATCAATGCAGGTGTGGACTTGATCAAGAAGTTTTACAAACGTATTTACTTCATCTGCCATACGTATTCCAGGGAAAAGACTGTTCCATAATAACGCACACTTGATGAGAAAGAATTTTTCCCGAGTTTTCGATCTGTATATGTCAACTTTGACCATAAATACTCTGTCTCGAAATTCGTATTCATGTAAGTGTTGGGAAAGATCTGTATTACATGTGGAATAAGCACGGTTTTTGAGGATTTTGAAGTAGAGAATCAAATTAGACCTAAGTCTTCTTTTCCAAAGGGGCCGCAGTCCTGTAGTGGACCGCAGCATATAGAGGTTATTGAATATACATCTATACACTAAGTTAATAATAAAAAGTTAACAGTAAAAACATTAAGTGTCTGTGTACGAGTAAAACCAAGGTTAACAGTTTAGTTATAATACAAATGGCATATTATTGAGCAATATGATAATGACAATTAATAAGGAATGAATGTTACTTGAAGGCTGCTCTCTGGGATGACAACTACATGATTAATGTAGATTCCCCTGTGAATGATGGCAACGACAGCGTGACGAAAAAGACAGAGTCCAATAGTATTATGTAATAGTAATCCAGGCCAAAATACCAACGTAGTGTAGGAAGGCCTGAAAGGATATTATAACACTATTATAGTCTTCGGTCAAAGGCCCTGGCCAATAAAGCAGAAGAGCAGACGACGTAGATAACGTGCTATAGTTCAATAAGCGCGGTAGTAAAAAAGTGTATTCAATTCATCAAAACAATTATCATTGTTTTTTAAATATCTGATACAGAAAAACAACAGATATTGAATAAAATGTGGTTACAAAAAAATCACGGAATATACGTCACCATAAACCTAACGTTCTCGTTTAGCTCAGCTTGTTTTTACTTCTGACGACTATTTCTACGGCGATAATTATCACGCTCAGTTTGGTGATGACCACCACAGATAGATCGTTTCCCATTTTATAATCTTATTCCGAAGAAGAGGGCCTGGTTCAAAATATTTAGATACTTCATTGCTTAAGCCTGGAGTTCAGTTTCCCTCGTCACTTAGTGATTTAATGGAACTCTTTACCAGAACACGCAATAATAAAACCCTATTTGAAATATTTGAAGTGAAAATGGGTCCTCAATGTACTACAAACTGCAAGGATGAATTAAAGTCGATTGACGTCCAATCCGTACTATTGAAGACTGAAGAGTTTTTTATTTCGGAGAAATGCGAGTCTTTAAAGGCGCAAATGCTCCCATAGGAAAACGTTAAACCATGTGGCTTTTTCATAACGACACCCAAACAGTTTGGAATAAACCAGAGCCTTACACACACAATATTAAAAATTAAAACTTCAATCTTGTGGGAAAACAAGTCAAAAATATCTTTATTTGTATGAATTCAGCCCCACATTCATTCTTTTAGTGTGGTGATATTTATTATTTGGTTGTAAATGTTTCTGCCACTCATGCTTATGAACTGTTTATATTCATTCTTTTGAAATAGTTCAAATCCTGTTTTTCTTTGACCCCAAGGAACACCGCGTGCTTCGAAGTTTTCAAGAGTAACTGTGATAGGTGTGACACATCTAGTCTAAGGGTTATTTTGTAAGCTACTGTCGTCTCGGTTCATTTTATAACCAAACCCTAAACTTCATCACATTCCTTGCTTATTGAACGTTTCAAAACACACCCACTTAAAATCTAACAATAATAGTGAGTAATTTTAAGCACATATGCGTGTTTACCATGTAAATGCATCTAGATAATTTCCCAATTCGTGGCACATTTCTTCTATTCTACTGAAAAACAGCTAGTAATCTACCGCTTTTCAGTCTCATAAATTAACAATGTAGGACTCAAAACGAATTTCTTAGATGAGTTATTTTGACAAATATATTCCGGGTTTATTATGACCCACCTGTTCCTTATAATGGAGTGTTATGGTCATCCTTTACTGTCTGTTATGATATTTATGCTTAGTATAATTTAGCAATGTTTTTACTGTTCTACTACTAGGGTACTTTTAAACCGCTAGCTTTTATAGTGATATGTGGATGCGCACCAATTTCTAACAACAGTTTTTGTGGTTAGACTCCCAGAAGCGGTCAATTTTATCTAATGTATCTCTGGTCCATGGACTTGTCACTTTATCTACCTATTTTGCGCGTTGCTTTTCAGAACTGGGATACGGTAATAGGGATGCTAAGATGAACAAGTTAATAGATAAAAAAAGATCCCATTTGATTAATTTCCTACAATCATACAAGCTTCGTTTTTTTTTTGGTGTTAATCCTTCAAAACTTTAAACGATGGAAATGATAGCTGGCGGAGTATATGGACTTACCTGGCTCTTAAATCTAAACATATTGCTTTATATCACCTCATAATATTTAGTTCATTCGTAGGAAATTTATTTTTCATTTAATTAGTAATTGTCGATACTTTCTTTCAAAACTTTGCTATCAAGAGTTGGATTATTTTGACAAAATATCACTATGTATCATATTAGATCAAAATATAAGTTGGGAATATAATTTAGGGGATTATAAAAAAATTGGTCGTATTTCGCGTGTTGTTGTGATAGTTAGTTTGCATGTAAGTAGGGAATAGGATATTGTTAGATAACACGTCAATGTTAAGTTGAAATCGATAGCAAAATGATGACAATGTAGTGCTACTATTGATCATCGTACAAACAGTGCTGAAGTGTTCGACGTTATAACGGATAATTTTACATATTTTTGCCTACAATGTCTTCCCCTTCCTTCAAGTTTACTTAACTACATATATTTTATGTCAAGTATTGTTGAATAATGATCATAAATATTTGTATAACCCGAGGCAAAGCTTGTTCAACATTTTCCCAGATTACTCGTTTAGAACATTGCACATAGATTTAATAGGATCATATTCTGCTTGTGACAAGAAAAACGAGATTGATTATTTTACCACTAAATACCAGTTATTCCTACTTTATTCATTTCAGTTGTTTGTATTCCGGCCATTATGCTGTCAAAAGTGTGCTGTCTTGGTGCAGGTTATGTTGGAGGTTCAACACTTTCAATTATAGCTCATTACTGTCCGGAGATTCAAGTTACTGTTGTTGATACTTGTGATGAACAAATCAAGATGTGGAACTCAGATACGCTACCAATATATGAGGTAATATTTCGTTCTGATAGTTTGACATAGCTCGAATCTCGTTACATTTAGGTGCATAAATATAGTAAGCATCATTACAAAATAGACATATGCTAGTGAACAAGTTTTTCTGTTTTACTTTATAATCACTAGCTTGAATACAGCAATTATCTATGAGATGGGCTCCAGTATCCTGAAGGATCAAATGGCGTATGAACCAACCGTTGGTCACCGGCTGCCATGGGACTGCATCTCCTCACGATGCTCCACTGCCTTGTGGATCAGACGTTCAGGTCAAAGGCTCGGGGTGTGGCCCCCTAAGAAAACCACCTGCTTCGGTTTGCGCACCCGAGCAGTATCACAGCCCTCACACATATCAAATGAGGTCTGTGTGGCGCATATGTACTTGGTGCCTCCTTGTACCAATACCTATGTGTTAAATAAATAAAAATAAATAGCCTCTGCCAGGGAAGTCCTACTCATTGCCTTCACGTGGCGGGGGTGTTGTTTACGAAAATAAGAGGACGAAAAGCGAATGTCCGGCGCTTTAACCGGATCCCAAACCAATGGTGCACATGGGCTCCAGTATCCTGCGGGAACAAATGGCGTATGAACCAATCGTTGGTCACCGGCTACCATGGGACTGCATCTCCTTACGATGCTCCACTGCCTTGTGGACTAGACCTCTAGGTCAAAGGCTCGGGGTGTGGCCCCCTAAGAAAACCACCTGCTTCGGTTTGGGCACCCGAGCAGTATCACAGCCCTCACACATATCAAATGAGGTCTGTGTGGCGCATATGTATTTGGTGCCTCCTTGTACCAATATTTGTGTTAAAATAAAAAATAAAATAAAATATATACATCGGTCCAAGTTGCCACATCACATTAGCACAAGATGAACACCAAATTCTTAAAAACAGTTACTTCAATGGTAGTTATATATAAAAGAAAGATTGCATATACGTATATACGGGGGAAAGGATTAGTTCATAAAATGAAAGGTATAAAGCAATTCTGACCTTACGGTTTAACGGAAAACAAATAGTGTATTCACCGATGCGATTGTGATCGATTCTGAGCCATGTTACCCATAATCTCCAATCACTGGTTACGATAATCGCGCGGACCCAAACTAAGTAGTCTACATCTACTAACACGACTTAGGCCAGAAGTAAGTGACTTCAAGGACTGATGCCACGTTTTGGTTTGGCCACCCCTAACTTGCTTCCAACCGTCTCCAATACTAGTCAACATTATTCGTCGTGGTAATCGGTGTTCAGGCATGCGTAATACGTGGATCAACCATCTCAATCGATGAAGATTTACAACCTCATCAACTAACTTCGCATCATTTCCTAAGACCCTGCGTCTAACCTCACTATTACTTATCCGGTGATCCCAGCAGATACGAGTAATACTTCTCAGAGATCTGTGACCAGATGCTAGTGACTTACGAGTATCTTCTACCCTTAATGGTCACCTATCACAACCGTAAAATGAGACAGAACTAATTGCTGCGCTGTATACTCGTCCTTGAATTGATAGACGGATATTTCGCCTTCGCCATAGGTGACGTAAGTTGGCAAAAGCCAAACGATCTTTCTGAATCCATGCAGAAATTTCGTCAGACACCAACCCATTGGGGCTGATCAGACTTCCAAGATAAGTGAAGTTGTCAACGCGTTCGGCTACTTCACTCTATATCCTTAGTTCAGAAGTTGACTCAAGCCAGTCCTGAGACACCAACTTTCAGTTAGAGGGGGAGAAACGCATCCCAAACATCCTGGTATTGTTGCTCAGTGCTACCAAAATGCTTTTCATTTTATCAGCGTCTTCGCCAAACAGGACTATATCATCTATGTATCCTAAGTATATAAGCGGTACTGCTGGAAGGAGATCAATACCCGAGAATTCAGTCGACGAGAACGTTGTTTCTAGCAGTAGATCTATTACGATATTGAACAAAAACAGAGACAGTGAACAGCCTTGTCGGACATCACTTAAGGTTGCCAAATCAGGTGACAGTTCGCCATAAGCTCTGACTGGACTAGTAGGACATTGACGAACGATTGTTCCAGCTAATATAGCCCGACTGGTTCATCACGATTGGCAAACTCGACCGCCACGTCAAGGTAGAAACGGTTGGGGTTGGCGTGCAGTCGGTTGTTATAGTTCTTGTGCCATAATTTCTGCCACTTTGATATACATTTAAATATATCTGATATGTCTTGTCGTTTAAATGCTACTTGTCATATCTGGTCGTCACTGATCGTTGTGTCGGGAACGCTTATCACTTATACATTTTTTTGTCGCCACTGAGTAACTGATACTTTGATTTCGGACATTGCACTAACTGAAAAGTTATTTATTGGTCTGACCCACACCAAGATGTGCGGTTTTTTTGGTTAGGGCCACGCGATACTCGTAATCATTAGTTAGGAACGTTAGATTACACTATCTAAATTCAATCAAAGTAGTTCAGTTACACTAATTATCTTCTAAATATTGAGTTGTGTATTGTTCTCAAGTTTTTGTTTCCTTCTTTCAAAGCGTAATTGTCGGGCTTAGATTTATGTTACTTTGTATTATTTCCCATCCTATGGTTCTCGTCTAGTTGATTGCCTAGCGCGCTCATGCAAGGTGTGGCAATCCAGCTTCGTACACTATCTTATGTTAATGAGTAAATAATATTGTTTATTGATTGATCCATGGTTAGCTCCACAGATTTTTCATATAAGTCCAATACATTGTTAAGTATATTTGAATTTCATAGTTCATGTGAACATCAACCCTAAGATGCAGGTACATTTACCTCACGAGTCCCAAACAGAGTGAAACTCGTCCTAAATTTCACTGCTAACCATATTCTATCTATTTATATAAATTTGAGTTCTTTTTTGTTTATCTTGATTGGAAAGTTCGCTTGTCTTGATCACCTTTATTACTATTATTTTTATTTGAACACATAAATATTGGTACAAGGGAGCATCAGATATATGTGCACCACACAAAATAATGAGAATGGAAAGTGAAAAAGAATGTAACGACCACAGATTAGTGTATGGTAGTGTAATAATAATAATGGGGGAAACGTAAAGGTTCAACCAGAATACTTCTTTCAGTTAAGGAAGTTACAACCACTTTTTGTTAAGAAAGTAAAGGAAGGTTACAGCAGGATCGCCACTTGCTTCTATTCCGAGCCATATCTGGTAACGTCTTTAGCCACTGTGTTGCAACATGTCCAAGAACATTTAATTACTAAATAATTTTTCGTTAGTTTGCTGATTTGTGTCGATTAATCGTTTTACAGTTAATTTACACCATAAATTGTGATACCAGGTGGAAAGCTACTAAAGACTTGGGGACAGTGGATAATTGTTTCGTTCTATCCTGGTGTTTATTATGAAACACATAGTTTAGGATTTAACCTAGGCTCAAACAGCTTCCCAGTGTTCTCTAGTTTTTAATGTTTCTTCAGTTGACGGCCTTTCTAACATCAAATAACTTTTGTTGGCATTTTTTCTTCAAGGCGACTTTAAACGAATACATTATTGAGTTGATATTGTCTGAGGTTAGTCTGACCATCATATGAAACTAAACATCTGTTATTATTTATGAAGATTAGGTTTAAAATTTTAAAGATTCCATTATTTCACAAATCAGCATATTTACGAAATAATATCAGAAATTAACGATGTCCTTTACTATGTGACCAAAAAATTGACAAACCAGCTCTGTAAGCCTTTGTAGCTTTTAATATCTGTTCACCTATTTTCGTCTCAAATCCTTTGAGAAAGCTAGATCTATTTCTTTTCAAATCCGTTATTTTGCAGTTCAAGCGTTAATCTGCAAATTTATATTTACAGAGCAATTCAATCAGTATGAGCACGTATAGTTTACCCCATAGAATGACTGCTTTTACTTTTGTTATACGATTACTACTATCTCTGAACGGATTGCAACCGATTATCATCCGATTACTTGAAAGATTCTTTTGGTCAAAGTAGAAAAATGTAAATATTAAATACTGATCCTATAGTAATAATAATAATAATAATAATAATAATAATAATAATAATAATAATAATAATAATAAGTATTATCATTATTATTTTGTACTTTAAACTTGTTTGTTTTTAATAATTGGATTCATTATTCACATGTACAAAACATATTATTTGGGTTAAGAGTCTTTTCCACTTATAATAATAATATCATAATATCATAACTGTAAATGAAGTTGTATATATTGGAAATTATTTTATGCATAAATTGGCAGCAGCTGAATAATCCTGGAAGTTGGGGCTATGAAGTATTTAGCTTCTTCGTGTTTGTTTTAAACATCTCAGTAATATGCATCCACTAATATTAAAATGTGGGTTTTAGGGTTTCACAATGAGTACAATACCTTTAAGTCAGTCGCAATCTGGTGATCTATATATTTTCCATTCTGATCAATTGTTATCGAATGTTATCACTTTTATCATGGGTGACTTCAGATGTTATCATTTATCGTTAGGTGTTAGGATAATTCATCTCAAATCTGATATGCATCAGTAATTTTTAATGCCAGTTGATTTTGTGGTAAGTTGGTATAGTTCTAACTGGGATCAGTTAGACAACAATAGTAAAGTTGTATTGTTAACCTGTCTCCATGTGATTGTAAATACGAGAGTCCAAATTACAATTTTTTTTGTTTCAATTTTACACTGGATAAATTATCACGAAGAAAAAGTCATTTTTCAAATTATTCAATTAGAACACAAGTTTTTGTATGATTTCTTAAAATATTTCTCTTATTGAAATATGATGTTGTTTAAGCTATTAGTCAATATTCAGTATGGAAGTGTTATAAAAAATCTGAAAGCGTATTAGACCTGTTATATCTGAACAAACAATAAATGAACGGTAGCTGCTAGGAATTATTTATGGGTTATTATTACATATATTGTGCATGAAACTCCCCAAAGGATAAATTTGGACCTTTGTGAACAGGCGAAAACTTCTCAGGTATATGATAATGTTCAGATAGGACTTACTTACTTACGCCTGTTACTCCCAATCGATCATAAGCCGCCGACCAGCATTCTCCGACCCACACTGTCCTGGGCATTCCTTTCCAGTTCTATCCAATTTTTGTTCATTTTTCTCATGTCTGTCTCCATTTCTCGGCGTAATGTGTTCTTTAGCCTTCCTCTTTTCATTTGGCATTGAGAATTTCGAGTGAGGGCTTGCCTTCTGACGCAGTTGAGTGCTTTCCTCAATGTGTGTCCTATCCACTTTCAGTACTTCTTCCTGATTTCTTCCTCCGCCGAAATCTGATTTGTTCTCTCCCACAGTAGGTTGTTGCCGTTAGTGTCTGGCCGACGGATCCGAAGTATTTTGCGTAGACAACTGTTAATAAACACTTTTATCTTCTGGATGATGGCTTTCGTAGTTCTCCAAGTCCCCAAACCGCACAGTAGAACTGTCTTGACATTTGTATTGAAAATGCTGACTTTGCGTCCAAGCTGTTGGCTTCTGTCATACTTCATAGGTTGTTCAAAACCCGAGAACGATTGACTCGCGACGAGCAGGCTGGGTTTCGTTCCGGTCGAGGATGTGTTAATCATATCTTCACCCTCCGCCAAATGTTAGAACACCCTCATACTTATCAAAGGCCAACAATCGTATTGTTTCTTGACATCAGAGCTGCCTTCGATTCGTTGGATAGGACTGCTCTCTGGGATTGTCTATTGAAGAAGGGTGTGCCTGAGAAGTTTATTAACATCCTAAAGGCCCTATATACAAACACCTCAGGCAGAGTGAGGGCATACAACCACCTTTCTCCATTATTCCATACGAGCAGTGGGGTTAGACAGCGTTGTCCAGTCTCACCATTCCTCTTCAACTTTGCCATCGATGACATTCTGGAAACAGCTCTGATGGATGTAAGTAATGGTGGTGTGGATCTGTTGCCTGGAGAAAGACTTCTTGACCTTGAGTACGCGGATGATATTGTCTTACTGTGAGATAATGCCCAAGCCATGCGATCCACGCTTAATCAGTTGGCAATCAATGTCCGTAGGTATGGTATATGCTTTGCACCTTCGAAGTGCAAAGTACTTCTACAAGACTGGCAGGATTTTAATCCTGTACTCACTCTGGATGGTGAGCAGATAGAAGTAGTCGAGAAGTTCGTGTATCTGGGTAGCTGCATAAGTGCTGGTGGTGGCGTGAGTGATGAGATCAATGCACGTATAGTGAAAGCCAGAGCGGCTTATGCCAATCTGGGCCATCTTTGGCGCCTTCGTGATGTCAGTCTGGCTGTATAAGGTCGGATCTACAACGCGTCAGTGATAGCAGTTCTGCTGTATGCTTGCGCAACCTGGCCTCTCCGAGCTGAGGATGTTAGACGACTCTCTGTGTTCGATCATCGCTGTCTCCGAAGGATTGCTGACATCCAATGGCAACACCATGTTAGTAATACAGAGGTTCGGCATCGTGTGTTCGGGAACAGAGACGATAATGCAATTCGTGTCACCATCTTGAAACATCGACTTCGGTGGCCTGGACATGTTCTACGAATGTCGTCCCAGAGAATTCCTCGTCGTGCATTATTTGCCGACTCTGGGACTGGTTGGAAAGAGCGGAAAGGCGATCAGTGTATGACGTGGTGTCGTGGTATGAAAGAAAGCTGCAAAGGGCTGGCTCGTGTTGGTCCTTCACGACTCCCTGGTTGGGGTCCGAGAGATGGTGCAACACAGTGGTTAGAGACGTTATCAGATATGGCTCAGAATAGAAGCCAGTGGCGATCCTGCTGTAACCTTCTTTTACTTTCTTCGTAAAATGTGGTTGCTTCTTCTTTAACTAAAAGAATTCTTCTGGTTGTACCTTTCCGTTTCCCCCATAATAATAATAATAATTATTATTATTATTATTACACCACCTTACACTAATCTGTTCGTTATTGTTCTTTTTTTACTCTCCTTACCTTCTTTTTTTTCTCCTCTTCAAATTCTCATTGTTTTGTGTGGCGCATATATATTTGGTGCCCCTTGTACCAATATTTATGTGTTCAAATAAATAAACATATACTTACGGAATCTAGCCTGCTGGTCTCGAAGTTGGACGTTTACGGATTCCTTCATTCTGTCTAACAATACCCTGTTGAAGAGTTTTTCTGGTATTGAGAGAAGAGTGATGCCTCTCCAATTCTCACACTTGCTGAGATCGCCTTTCTTTGATATATTGATCAGATGTTCTTCATCGCACCATTTTCGTTTCGTTCTACCAGCCTATGTCGTCCCATGATTTCTTCATATCCTATGTCGTCCATTCCAACCCTGGCATTTAGGTGGTGATGGTCAAGCCCTTTGTTGATCACTTCTCGCCGACTGACTGTAGCCTATCGTAGAATTGATCTTTAATGTCTTCAATGTAGTTGTTGGTAGTTCTAGTGAAATACTATATATATATCATAACCATTTGTCTGATCTATTCTCTACTGTTATATGATTAACCATTCTTAATTTATTCCCAATTTATTAGTTACAGTGCACAATAATCACAACCACTTTTGACTTGATGTTGTATAATTATTATTTCTCATTTTATGGTGTGATGCGGTTTGGTCTGCTTGTGTGTCTTAAATATACGATTCACAAAGCAGAGGATAATATTTGTGTTCTAAACTGAATAGGCTGGGCTGGGCGAGAAGTTGCCATACAGAGGACCAGTAAAGACAAAGAGTTGACTCTAAGCTACTCGTGCTGGTTAACACACAGTGGGTTTAGCACGGGGACAAGGTTCATGTATGTCGGCGTTTTAACTGACGATATTGTCACGTGTCAGGGCCACAAGCCATAACAAAAATACTATTAAAGTCATGGTTCCCATCTAAATGCGATCTGATTTTTCCTTATAAATTGTCTGTTTTGTTTCATATTTAATCTGATATGCTTCTTTTTAAAAAAAATTACATTTAGCCGGGATTAGATGAGATTGTTAAATCACACCGTGGAAAAAATCTACACTTTTCTTCGGATATTGACAAAGCAATAGATGAAGCTGAAATGATCTTTATCTCAGTGAATACCCCAACAAAAAATTGGGGCCTTGGTAAGGTAAGTAAATAATACACAAATGAAACCAATTTCGCTTTTTCTGTATAAAAACATCCCGCTATAATGTCATTAAAAACCATCTATATGTACAAATGTGCTACTTGAAATGATAAATTCGTTGAAAACTAGTTTCTTGTTTTACTTTTCTCCTTATTTTCAATTTGGAACGTTTCACAGCAAGAACTGTATCATTGAATATTGTTTTGCTTAAATTATATGATCCACTCGTAAATTGAGTATTGATTTTTGTTAATTTTTGATTTTAGCATTGTTTTCACTGTGACATGTAAATCAAATAATTCCACGCTAGGTCAAGGATAAAATTTACCGAGGTCAACAACCTACGGTATTTTTTAGACTACTGTTAAAAATGATTATAAACACTTGTAAAATAGATTTTAAATTTTCTAATGGCATTATCGCCTGATATACTTAACACATCCGTTTAGATTATTCATTGATGTGTTTGTAGTCACAACTAATCGACTGACATTTTCTTCACGGTTTTTGTAATTTCTGACTCCTATTAATGAAATTTTTTGGGTATATTTAGAAAAATTTAAAAACGACTAATTGGTTAACTTTTGAAAATGTGTACTCATGTGTTAATGAACAAACATTTTATTACCTGTAACAATTTATTAATTATGTACAGTTTCTGATTCTTATGCAAATGAGAATCATATACCACATAATAGCAGCTCATTTCCCTTTCATAATTTCCAATGACATTCTTTAACGCTTCAAGTGATTGGAATGTTATCAGATACAACATACTCAAAAACACGTTATCAGTATTTATGAAAACATTCAGAACAATACGTTCATAATTTGTAGAAACAAATGATCATTCGAGGAATATTTACATTTGATATCACTTGCCAAAAATAATTAACTAATAATTACCGGAATAAAAATACTTTTTTAAGATGGGATGGAAAAATTTTAAGAAAAACATTCAAAAATAACTTCGGTAAATGATATTTCAACTATAATTATTATGATAACAAACTTTTGGAAGCATATCCTATGTATACTATTAGTGTCATATTCATCTGAAAGGAAAAGTCTGATTAAAAGAAATCATTTAAACATTATTAAATTCTTGTAACATGTATAGTCTTATTATCAATATCATTTCTTAATTGATAATAAAAACAATATCAACAGTTGAGATCGTAAGTCAAATGAAGCTAGACCCCCATAGAAAACCTGGAAACACAGGACGACCGCTTCGTTCTCTTGTGGGACTCAGCAATGAGCATCCGTGACCCCGCCTCGCGGGATTCGGACCCAGGACCTATCAGTCTCGCGCCAGGCGCTCACTGATGACAATGGTAGATGTATCTCTCAATTTCGTGGGTCAGTTGAAGTTAGACATTAACACCGTTGGATGCCGGCGCGCTCAGTGGTCTAGTTGGTTAAGCGCCTGGCACGAGACCGACAGGTCCTGGGTTCGAATCGCGCGGAGTTGGGTCGTAGATGCGCACTGCTGAAGAGTCCCACAATGGGACAAAACGGCCGTCCAGTGCTTACAGGTTCTCCATAGTGGTCTAGCTTCATTTGACTCATGATCTCAACTGCTGAAATTACTACGATCTCCACAAAACCCCTTCTGATAATAAGAATAATTGTAAACTTTAAAATACATTGAATAACAATTCCTAATTTCTATTAAATGTTTATCGATAATCAGAACATTATTTTTACAGAAATATTTGTTTATACTATGAATAGGTATAATATCGTTTTGTATGGTTATAATAACATGGGAATATTACAAACGATCAAGTGAATTCATGATAATAATACTAACAATAATAGAAATAATAATGATAATCAATACTGTTGTTTACTTTTATTATTCCGCATGACCCTAGTTCGTTGTTCATAAAAAAATAATGTACTTTGCTATACAAAAAAACTAAGAGTAATGGATGGTTAAGCAAACAATTGTTTGTAACGATAACGATTTTTTTCACGATACATGGTTTGAAAATTTAAAATTATTGCTTTACATTAGATAAAATATGAGAATCTGTATATAAACATTCAGGTTGAACGAATTAGTATGTGTTGTAAATTGAAAATAGTAGATTTTATTATTATTATTACTATTATTATTAGTGGTTTTATTCAATATTATATATTTGATACAATATAGAATTCTTCGCACAAAGTATTTTAAAAAGTTCCAGTTTCTTATTTGTTGATCGATCCTGACAATAAATATTGAATGGTCATAAGTTAAGAGTTAACAGTTCAGGAATCGACATCTGAATAATGTACATTTTTTCTATGTATATTGTCAGCAACCATGTTGTCTCTGATTGGGCATTTTTGTAACATGTGCAGCGGAAGGTCGTAAACTTTCCATAAACACACCTGAATAGGTTATGCGATTAACAGACATAATGGTGTGTTAAAACAAAAAAAAACAACAGATAACTTGTTGAAATATCTAGATGACAGGAACAGGTAGCCCAGATATTCAAGCAGGCTGTCATCTGCTGGGATGTTGACTAAATTTTAAATCTTAACAAATTATTTTATTGTTCATTTGTTGTTTATCAAAATGATAAATAATCTTTTCTATTTAATACCATTAATAAAATGAACTCGTGATAATAATAATAGACCTTCATCATTTTGTTTTAAAATTAATACAATATGCTTCCTGTTAAAAATGTTCTCTTTTTTATTATGTGTAGTAGGTTGTTTCCAATTAGTTGAAGTTGTGTAGATCGTTGACATTTTATTGAAATCTCGAGTCTATCAAAGTTAAAAAATCGTTCGAAACCGGGAAGGATTGTACGGCCATTTTGTCCTAGTATAGGACTCTTAAGCAGTACACATTCACAACCCAGCAAGCGGGACTAAACAGTCATCCGGGGCTTCCAGGTTTTCAATAGTTGTCTGAATTTGGTCGGCTTATGATTTCAATAGAAGTTGGAATATTGTTCACAATTTTTTTATATTTTAAACACACAGAATCTTTTAAGAAGCGACATCTTGTAGCGAAAAAATGTTAATAGCCAATATCATACCACTGTTTTTACATTCCTGTCAGTTAGTTTAGAAGCATTTTCATTTTAAATATAAGGTTTAAAAAAACAATTCCAAACATTTCATTTAGCATGGCTTGATCAGTTAAAGTTTGATTTACTACAAGAGTAGGAATTTTCTAATGGTTAACTTACAGATTTATTTTGACTAGAAGCAGATGAAAAATTGATATCACCTCATGAAGTCATCAACTGTGCCGGTAAACTCTATGCTGGGATCCGCCAAATAATCATAACCTATAGTTTGAGATATTAAGCGATATGGCCTAAATTGGCTACAATCGCATAGATGCATTCATTGTTTTCATTACTTTAAACCTTGAGTCTAGTGTTGTTCTATAATTTTCATTTGTCGATCTCATTCACTCCTGAACTTTTTTCGCCTACATTTAACCTTTCATTGCCTTTGTTTTCTCTTTTCATATGCTTCTCATGTTAATTTTCACCGTCCTGTTTCGAACTGTGTCTTCTCATACATGTGTGTATCAGGTTATACGTTAACTATGTTAATCTGGGTGACTATTGCATATAAATAATTTACAAAAATAAAGATGCGTATACCCTTATATGTATGATATTCACATTCTTTTAGGGTAGAGCAACTGATCTGACTAACTTAGAGGCTGCAGCTCGACGTATAGCTAAAGTATCACGACAACCGAAAGTTATAGTTGAAAAAAGTACAGTACCGGTGAAAGCAGCAGAGACTACAAGTACAATACTTCAATTTGAAGCAAAGTCTCGTCGTAACATATCCAATCTTACAATAACAACTAATAATAATTATAGTAAGGTAAGTATACATTATTTCATTCCATTTTAATTTCCATTTTTTACTTTAATTTTTTGTCCAATTTACTGAAATGATATTTTGAGAAAAACTGGATAATAACCCTCTTTCAATATTGAATAAAAGTAGAACATCTTGCATCTTCGAACATTCTTCTATTCAATCAATGGGTCATTACTGAATATAAAACTGTAGTTCTCACTGGAAATTTTATTTCATGCATCTGAAGCTGTCTATGTATATTTTTTCTGTGAACACGATACTGTAGTGCTTCTTAACTTCCCGGAATAAAAAGCAAGTGTGAATTGTAGCATGAAATGAATTCTCCAGTGAAAATTATGGTTTTATATACAACATTCACTCAGCAAATGAACAAAACAGTGCTAGATATTGCATTCGTGTTCCCGATTGAAATATAGGTGTGTTATATTGTTATAACTTGTCGTTTTTTTCCGAAATCCCCGTTGTCAATTGTTTTCATTTTTGGTCAAATTTCTTACAAAAATGAGAAAAAATTTGTTGGACGTATGAAATGATGATCGAGAACCTAATGAAATTTTGATAGATGCTGATTATTCTAGAGATCGATTATCTACTAATGAGATTTGATGAAAATATTTCACAAGAATCAAACGCTAATGACCTCACATCTAGTGTCGCTGATCCTTACCATCAAGTCAGTTCTAGTGGACTCTCTATTCAATGCGGCAAATATGTTTTAAATAGAGTCACACTAACTGTAACTTGGGAATATGAGGACCCTACATTATTTCGTGGGGGAGGATCAAGTCATAAAATTTAAATTCAGAATCTAAACTTTGAGACTTCAAAAAAAGAAGGGAAGTTGAGATAATGGGAAGAAAAGTCAATTTTCGATTGATTCACTCATTATGAGTTTAGTTCGACATTACTTCCGTTCTGATTCAGTGTGATAATTATTCAGTGTAGTATTCGGTTTTCTTTTCTCGTATGATATTTTATTCTGTATAATATACAATATTCTTGTATTGCATTGACATGAACTATGTTCAGTATGTGATTTGTTATAACTCCAATTATTCTTTGTATGGTTCCCACATTGATATCCCGACTGTTGCTGCTAGCTTGACGTGGTCGTCAGGCTTACCTATGGTGATGAACCAGTCGAGCTATCCCACGGATTATCGTCTACGGCGGTAAGGTCCCAATATGTACGGAGCCAACCAGAAAAGTACTCACAAGAAAGGTCGTGTGTGGTCAGCCTCAAGCAGTTGTCTCTTGGGCATTGCGATCACACTCACGTCACTAAGACCACCTCTAACCCAATTTCTTTTTCAGGTATCTCTAGAAGAACCCCTCGACCGTGTGGGCAACCGGGAATCGAAAGCCACCCTCAAACCTTTAACAGCAGTCGAGACCCCCAAAAGTTCATTGTATTAGTTTAGATATAATTTTCGACTTTTTAATATTTATTGTATTTGAATTTCATTTATAATTATTTATTAATCCTTTGTTATTGTGTAACTGTCAAGTTCATAAAGGTAAAAATATCTTTTACACCTATAAATAGAAATCCCTCAAATAACTAATTAGAATTAGTGAGTAGTTAATTAGAATCTCTAAAAGTTTGGTATTTACTGAAAAAAATAAAAGGATGTCTGTGAAGAGAAACTGGCCTGATAATTGATAAATATGGTATTTAAATATAATTAATATTCTACTAGAGATATATGTATGTTTGTATATATGAAGTTATCTTCATACTGTTGAAGTCAAAATTTGCATCGAGTATAAATGTGTACAGTTTTCCTAAAAGTTAAGTAACCTTCATCTATGCATTGTGTGCCTATGAAGAAACAGTATAATTAAATTATTATAAGCAGAGATGAATGGTGGCTAGCAGTGGAATACAGGACTTATCTGCTGGATGTACTTCATCCCTGAGTTATTCTTCACTCCAAGACTCGAACCCAGTACTGTTCGCCTTAAACGCCATCGTACTATCCACTTAGCTACTGAGTCCAGTTAGCCACTTGCTTGTGCAATCACCTCAAGTTTTAATTGATTTTGTATTGGATGCTTAAATCTTCCCATTGATGTTTAGGACCGCGTTTGATCAGTCTCTTAGTGGCATATGTGTTTTCTGTGTGGATTGCTTCGATAATACCTCACGTTACAGGAATTATAAGCAGAGATGGATGGTGGATGCACTTTTGGCAATAACAGACTGATCAGTTACAGTCTTAAACATCAAGGAAAAGAATTGTATTTCAGACGTGTCGTGTTTTAACATAAGCCACATCTTTAGAGTAAATAAATAACTTGCGTTTATTTATTTCGGTTATTTGTTTACTCTGAAGACCTGGCTCACATTAAGTCACGAAACGTCAGAAATACAGCTTTTTTTACCTATTTGGATATTTAGAAAATGTTTATTATTAGCTTTTTACCGAATGCTTAATTTAATTTAATTGAAACTAACAAGTCCAACTGTAGTATTGATACCTATAAAATCAATGGGAGGATTCAAGAAACCAATAGAAAAATGACTTATAGTTACAGAATTTTGTTTTCCTCTTTCAACCGGTCCAATTAAATTTAAAATGCTAAATCTTGCTTCACTATTCCTTCTAAACTTTGTTGTTATAAATTTTTTATATATATATCATCGACTTTTTAATTTATCATTGTTTTACATTTTAAATTTTAATTATATATTGAATTTATTATGGGTTTGTTTTCTTCATTTTTATGGATTATACATACAAGCTTAATGAATTTGTGGTCTTATCGAATCCGGAATTTCTAGCTGAAGGTACTGCTGTCAATGACTTATGTAATCCAGATCGTATTCTAATTGGTGGTGATTCACATTCGTCATCTGGTAAATTAGCAATCGAAATGTTACGTTGGATATATTTACATTGGGTACCAGCAGAACGTATACTTATTACATCGACTTGGTCATCGGAATTATCTAAATTGGTAATTTATTTTCATAACAATCATATGCTCACTATTGAACGGCTTTAAATGTTACTCCTGGAGTTCTACTGAGAAGTCATGATCAGTAGAGTTCAGTCTGTGGTATTCAATGGTGTAGGGTTGCATAAAATCATGGATTAACTGAAGTTAGACACTAACACCTTTAGATGCCTGCTCAGTGGTCTAGAGTTTAAGTGTTCTGGCGTGCAACCGGAGGTTCCTGGATGGGATGTCATGGACGTGCACTGCTGCGGTGTCCTTTACTGGGTCGAAATAGCTGTCCAGTGTTTTCGGGTTTTCAATGCTGGTGTAGCTATGATTAGCTCATAATTTCAACCGTGAGAATTTATTTCCAATAGATTATGCACTTTATTCTGGAAAGATAAGCATATATCTGTGCATCTTGATTTGTTTTCTGATATCCTTTTGGACTATATGTTTCATCAATAAATCATACATAAAATTATTTTGGAGTACTAAATTTGAGATCATTCACACATTGTTAGATTTGTATTTTTGTATGTGATGAAATTGGTCATGATTTCACTACTTATCTTGCTCTAGATCTTCAGTTTCAATATTCCTTCGTATATATCTTTTACAGTCTTTCTTCTAATCATACTCTCAATGTTTAGTTTTTATTCACTATCATTCATAATACATTGTTCAGACTCTTTTGGTATTCATCTTGTCAATTTTATCTTGTCCTGTTTAGGCTTACGCATATATATATATATATATATATATATATATATATATATATATATATATATATATATATATATTGGTAATATTTGACTAACAAATTGATCATTAGAAGGATATATGTAACACGAGCAAAATAATGTTATCTTTGGAATTCCGTGGATTTTTTGTGTATCTTTTACTGTCTGTAAATTAATTAACTATATACCCGTTACTTAGTTTTGTACAACAAATGACGTAGTTACGTGCAGATTAAGATTTTCTATTTATGATGTATTGCGACCTAATTTATTATTAATGTACTCAATAAATTAGTTATCCATTTAATTGGGTACATAGATGCTGAATTCATTTGGTATAATAATTTCAAATTTCAGAAATCAACCTTAGTCGTTTGTTAGCGGACAATCTCTTCATTATTATTATTATTATTCCATTCATAGGCAGCTAATGCTTTTCTTGCTCAACGTATTAGCAGTATCAATGCTATCTCGGCTATATGTGAACAAACAAATGCTGATATTAAAGAAGTGTCTAAAGCAATCGGTGCAGATCATCGAATTGGCCCATATTTTTTAAATGCTGGTCTTGGCTTTGGTGGTAGTTGTTTTCGTAAAGATATTTTAAGTTTGGTAATTTGAAATACATTTTTATTATTTTAAAATTTTCTTTGTTTCATAAATTTTTCTAACAAATAAATACAATAAGAATAACGTTTATTTTGTACACATAGTTTAAGAAAATTCTATTCACTATTCGAATTGGTTAACTCCACCTGTAGCTCTTCTAGGGCTATTGCCGATCCCCTAAGCCCAGGTAAAGAGAGAGTGTTGGGCATGGGGTCAGCAACCCTATCCCGTAGAAAACAACCTTGCTTTAAAAAAAGACTAACCAGAATAATAATAATTCAAATTGGTTAACATGAAATTTATTCTTCGTGTTACCAATAAATTTTCTAAATCCACTTGTTTATTAATAAAAATTCTGCTCGAAACTATTATTCTTGACTTTTGTCATACGCTTATCGTATCAAAGTAACTAAGCGAAAAAGATTATGACTGACCTTACATAAAAGGAGATGTTTAGAATGTTGATTAACAACAATGAGGTGTTTTTGTCGAAAAATCAACGTTTTCTGTCTTAATTGTCTGGTTGAAGACTGTAGCTATATTCAAAAAGTACACATTATGGCTTTCTACTATTCTCCCTGTTGTAAGTATTATGTTTCATGGGAATAGAACTGTTCAAAAAATTGACAATTCTTAAAGGATCATTTATAATTTTTGTATATATAGGGTCAGCTGTAATACGATCTTTAATTATTGTGTAAGCTTCATATTTAGTAATCCGATAATCAGAATATTTATCTTATGCTTACTAAGCAAGTGAGTCTGATGCTGAAAAAAAGTAAAATTAGCAAATGATTTTGCAAAGTTCATACAATTTATCATATTGGTCATTATGCGACTTCTTTTATCCACTCCGCGTAATAACGATGACGTAACAAAGCGAAATGAATGTGAGGAACACTTTACACTCTTCACTGCAATAAAAGTATTCGTTACATAACTATATTACTTAACCATTCATCTGGATAACATAAAAAAACCATACTATGCTTGTAACTCTTTCTAGAAAAATGTCAAGCATTTACCAGAACTAATCGAACTACGAGGAAAAGTTTCAAAACAACTTCTCTAGGTCTTTTGTTTTGTCTATGATAAATGTCACACTCTTAATTACCAGTACAAAGAATTGAAGAAAAATTTCTCTAAAAAGGATATCCAGGGCATTACAGTTAGTTCCTGTGGTATTATAACCAGACTACATAAAGTTTAATATAAAGATATTCACTGCCGTATTTACAGGTTCATTTCTCTTGTTGTTTATGGAAAGATCGTTGCTATAGAAATTTTCTCTGTTCAGTTATTTCATACATTTAAATATGTTTATCTGCGATTAATCATACGGTATGATTGTATTATCATAATAATTGATGGTTTTGCCCAAATGTTTCGCTTACACATTTTTCAATCGTACAAATATTGAGATAAACGCTCTTTGTTTCAGGTTTGTTTTAAACTTTAGAATTTTGAGTGGCAGGCCTATACAACTATGCGGTTTTATAAAAAATTTGACCATTTATGTGGGTATTAAATACTGAAAAACTCGGATATAAGTCACACAGCCCTTGGTATAGTCTCCTCCTCTGTTCTCGAATGATATAATAGATGACAACATTGGAATTTATTGGTTCAATATATGACAGATGAAGGAAAGAGCTGTAGTCACTGAACCAGTAGAAAAATTTCACAATTGAAGACTATAGTATTGGCAGAAATTGACAATTGAAAACGATTTATAGAATATATTTAGGAATAATTACAAATTAAATTTATGTTGAGGAGTGGTTTTGTTGCCATAATCCACAATTTTAATGTTAGGAATTCGTAATAGTAATGAAATTTATATTGGTGAATTAAGTCATTGTTATTATGAATAAAACTTACATTAATTCTAGCATCAATCTGTAATAAATTTTTACAGAAAACTTGATATTTAGGAAATTAGCGCAATTTATGATGACTATTATGAAACAGTTTATTTTCAAATAAAGTAAACTCATTTTTTGTGCAGTCAATCTTCAGCATGTGCATGAGACTGGTATACGTTACTTCCTGGTTTTCAATACTTAACTGAGATTAGTATGTGACGAATACACCCTATAAATAGTATTTGTTGAGCAATGAGACCTAATTACATTGCCAATAAACATGTATATACTTTTACTGTTAAGTTACAGTATTACGTAGTAGTAGTAGTATGATAAGTCTAATGACTATACAGTTACACTTAGTACGTTTAAACTGAAATACATTAAGTCAAGCATACTCAATATAAACATGGTATATATATATATATATATATATATATATATATATATATATATATATATTTCAAGGCACAAATGATTTTTTCGTTCTATCTGTAGTACTCGTGATACTAATAAGCTTTGACTTTCAAGAGTGAATGTGTTTTTAGTTGGTCCCATTAGCAGGTTGGTTCTGTAAACGTCAATAAATTACTCCAATTGTCTCACTGAGGTATTTAAGAATATGAATATAATGTTCTTCCCATCAGAATTTATTTTGTTTTATGATTGTAATAATTCTAAAATGGGATAAACTTTTTTTACACTTCTAGATGTATATATCAGAGACATTGAATTTACCAGAAGTAGCTTCTTATTGGTGTAGTGTACTACAAATTAATAATTATCAGATTGATAGATTTACACGTAATGTAATTGAAAAATTGCATAATACATTAAAAGGGAAACGTATTGCAATATTTGGCTTCACTTTTAAAGCAGATACATATGATACAAGGTTAGAACGTCTTTTTTAATTAAATAATCTTGACAGAAGGGGTTTTGTATAGATTTTAGAAATTTCAATTTTTGAAATCATGAGTCAGTTGAAGCTAGACCACCATAGAAAACCTGGAAGCACTAGACGGCCGTTTCGTCCTAGTATGGGACTCCTCAGCAGTGCGTACCCACGATCCCCCCGCGAGGTTCGAACCCCGAACCTATTAGTCTCGCGCGCGAGCGCTTAACCATTAGACCACTGAGCCGGCATCCAACAGTGTTAATGTCTAACTTCAACCAATCCACGAAATTGCGCCACTGTACACCATTGTCTTCAGTGAGTTGATACCTCACTACAGACCTGGTTGAACATCACTGGTATTGCATTTAATTACAAAGTTCATTTATTAAATACACATTCTTAACATATCGTATTTAATTAGCAACCTGCATATTTCATTTAAAACGTGTTCATTTTTAATTTTAATTGAAAAAAATGTTGTAACCTGCTTATGTTAATCAATTAAAAAATACCAATTGCCTGGTACGTGAGTTTTACTGAAATTAGCGCTGCAAGAGTGAATACAACGTAATTACTTTTCAAAACTATGCACCCCCCAATGTTTTTCATCCTACATCTAATTATTGAGAAGACAAAAGGAAGATAAACCTGATTTGTAATTTTGGAGATTATGTTTCATGAGAAAATGTCACTCTTTAATTACGGATTTTCGGTTCAGAGATTATTATCAGCTACATTTACATAATTATAACTTGAATTTTATGGTAAACAAATAGCATTGATCGGTTCATGATCTCAAAAAAATACTCAATCACCGCAACCCTACACTGACAGTGACACTTTATCCCTAAAATCTAATCTGAGTGGTCTATATAAAATTCAGCTAATGATTTCTAAAAAACGATGTACATATATACAGTTACATAGAAACTGATAAAGATTCTAATAATTCAGTGTACGTACTTCAAATTGTTAGACGATAATATTGTATTGTATTCAGTAACTAATGGATTAACTTAATATAACTTTATGTTTGCGTATTATGTAAATAGTAATCAGTTGTTAACTAATTACATTTCTGTTTGTCAATACGTTAGTTTAAATCTCCATTTCATCAATGCATTTTTTACTTGTATTCACATTATCATTGTTTTTTTTTCTTTAAAAAATATTAGAGATAGTCCTGTGATACCATTATGCAATCAGTTATTACAAGAACAAGCTGAACTAGCAATCTATGATCCGAAAGCTCATTATAAACAAATTGAATCAGATTTATTAATCAATAATAAAGATTCATGTAAGTAACATAGTATTCTTCAAAGAGTTCTTTTATCATGCTTATTTCATGTTTTGTTATAATTCAATTCTGGTTGTTTATTAATAAACCACTTAAAGTATAAATGTCTTTGAATTTGAAAACTTTAATCTAAATTACCGTGTTAATCAAATTACGTGTTAACTAGATATAAGATTACAATAATTTCTATCATTATGGTTCAACTATAGTTTTTCATTATAAGTGGATATTCATCGATTGGCTATAAAGAACAAAGGGTATATAATTTTTGGCATTTCTCAGTAGTTTGAGATTTTATCCAGAATATTACATGAATGATACGTCAGGAGATGGAACATAATAATCTCACTTATTGAATATTGAAACACCAAGAATCATAACGACAATTTTGGCTTTATTTATTTGTATCTATTCGGTTACAATAAAAAATTTCTCGACAGGAAATTTACAATGTTTCAATGAATTCCACTCTTAGATCCACTTAAATTTTAAATACTCAAATATAATATAAAACAAAGTTTTTAGTTATCATTCATCTTTATCATTCCTAACGTTTACGACCTGTTTAGTTCTTATGACATTCTCTGCAATTGCGTAATGTATATTTGATGCATAATCGTCTCTAGTTTATCTAAACGACAGAAAAAAGGAAAATATGTCGGCCACTGTGATGATAATGACTCTACTCAGATTACCCATTGTTTAGTTCCGCTGTGTATTGCAACTTACGCCTGTTAACTCTCTTAGAGAATAAACCGTCGACCACTAATCTTCAACCAAATCTGGATTGGGCTCTCCTGTCTAATTATTCCCAAGTGCTATTTATTCATTTGGTATCTGCTTCCAATACCCAGCACTTTTTGTTTTTCGTTTTGAGAATCTGAACTTGGGACTTACCTTGCAATGTTTGGCGATTTCTGCAATGTGTCTCCCATCCAACTCCATCGTCATTTTCTAGTTTCCTGTTCGGCTGGAAGCTGCTTTATTTTCTACTAGACTATGTTATTGTTTATGGTGTCTGGCTAACAGATTTGGAGTATCTTGTATAGGCAGTTTTTTTATAAATACCTGTACGTTTTTGATGATGGTAGTTTCCCAAGTTTCAGCTCCGTACAATAGAACTGTCTTGGCAATTGTATTGAAAATCCTGTCGTAAGCTTGTTATAAAAGCGTGCTAATACAATAAGAGGATTGCTTACATTGATTCAAAAAAAGTTTAATTTCTTGCATTATTTTGATAATTATAAAAATAAATAACCCAGAACCCTAAGAATACTGTAATTGATTCCCAGAATTTGTTCATCTTCCGCCTTGAGACCCTCAGGAGCTACTGCCGATCCCAAGCCCTGATAGAGGAGGGTCGGGTATGGGTTTAGCGACCCTAACCCGTGGAAAACTAACTCGCTAAAACGCGCTAACTAGAAAAATAATTCAAATTATTATTATTATTATATCAGATAGAGTTAGTATGATTTACTACTTTATTTCTAACGCAAATTTCACTTGACATTCAACTGATAAATACCTGTCATTTATTAGTTTTCCGAATGTCTGTGAGCATGTACATGAACGTTAGATCACAAAATTGTAATTCTGCAACAGTGGAGAATCTGAAGACATCAGACCTATGTACATATATTGATTATGTATGCTCTTTCGTGTGTTTAGAATAAAGGTATATTTTTAAGATTCAGGTGACCTTTGTTGCATGGGTCATTATTGTCGAGAAAATGAGACTTATGCCTTGCCAAAAACCTAAACAGCATTTAAACAATTGGGTCACGTTGCACTGTGTTTTTCAATTTACATATATGTGTAATCACATATACATAAGAAGGAGCAATCATGATTTGCAAATTAGACTCAATGCATATTTATTAAAATGATCGCAGATCAATTTTGAAGGGACCAAAATACTTCAGAAAGGTTTTAATACACATTAAGATTGACAGCAGAAGCGCTGTATATACGGGCGAACAAAAACAGTCTGAACAGAAAGGATGGTATTCAACTAGCAACTACTTAGCAAATATTTGTTAACAAGTAATTGGACCCATTTTCTATCCAACCTGTTGATTTCTCATGTATCCTTATTCTGACTAAAATTAATGTGGGTTATTTTAACAACACAATTATGTATTAGCATGCACATCGATGATTCAGGAACAATATTTCAACCTTCAACATGCATTTTTATTTTTGTTTCATTTAAAAACTAATTAACACTGAATATCAACTATTAGTGGCTCAATTTTACACATACATACATACATACACACACAATTCTTTCAGTCATTTATCTTCACATTGTGAACTTTTCACATTATTCGCATTTAACTGACTCGTGATTAGATTAGCACAGTATGAATTTAATTTGATGATTTTAATTATTATCGTGAAGAAGTCCAGATAAGTTTGCTGAACAAAACGTTGGCAAATTATGATTGCTCCTTCTTATGTATATGTGATTACACACATGTGCCGGCTGAGTGGTCTAGTTGGTTAAGCGCCTGGAGTGAGACTGATAGGTCCTGGGTTCGAATCTCGCGAGGAGCGGGGTCGTGGATGCGCACTGCTGAGGAGTCCCATACTAGGACGAAACGGCCGTCCAGTGCTTCCAGGTTTTCCATGGTGGTCTAGCTTCAATTGACATGATTTCAACCAATGACATATGTAAATTGAAAAACACAGTGCAACGTGACCCAATTGTTTAAATGCTGTTTAGGTTTTTGGCAAGGCATAAGTCTCATTTTCTCGACAATAATGACCCATGCAACAAAGGTCACCTGAATCTTAAAAATATACCTTTATTCTAAACACACGAAAGAGCATACATAATCAATATATGTACATAGGTCTGATGTCTTCAGATTCTCCACTGTTGCAGAATTACAATTTTGTGATCTAACGTTCATGTACATGCTCACAGACATTCGGAAAACTAATAAATGACAGGTATTTATCAGTTGAATGTCAAGTGAAATTTGTGTTTGAAATAAAGTAGTAAATCATACTAACCCTATCTGACTTAATAATAATGACAAGAAGAACAAATTCCGGGAACTAATTACAATTTCATACACTAAACTTTTAATCATATGTGGTCTGTGTACATAAACGACACTCCCTAACCCTAGGCAACTTGTGCTACTGTTTCCCCAATTGTGTGTTTCTCACTTAGCCACTATTTCACATCGTATTATATTAGTTATGTAAATGATTACTGTTAGTATTAAACTATCACAAATTTATTGATTAGTAAGGAATTGGTTTTATCTTTCAATAATGCTAGTTGACCTGATTCATATAAAATAAATTGCTGGAAAGATTTTCCATAAAACAGCATTACCATACATTTGAGCTAACATACTTCTTCATCATATATATATGGATCTACCTTGCTATCCTTTTACTCGTTTCAATATCTTTATTAATGTATTAAAATAGTGGGAAGATATAAAACACATATCGATGTACGCAATTAGATAATGCTTCTTTTCATGTATCTTCACCCATAATATTTTTTTTCCAATGTTTTTTGTGTATGTATTGTAGTTAGTCAATTCGTTCACATTTGTTCTACGCCTGAAGAAGCTGTCACCAACGCTTATGCTATTCTGATATGCACAGATTGGAAATGTTTCCAGGTGAGTATTGTATTGTATTGAGAAATTCTCTTGTTGAAATATTGGAAAGGGAGTCGTACGAGTTCTTTTTGTCTTCTCTTTAATGTATGACTTAAACCAACACGTTCATGTAGTGGTTATTTTACATCGTCTGTTTGTTTTTGCAGAATTGATAGTTCAGTTGTCGATTGCAAATAATATAAAATGGAAATATTGATATATCACTTTTTGGTGGTGTATATTGTCTCAAAATCAGTAACTCAATGAACATTGAAGACTTGCTGTTGACCTCATTAGTTTTGATGAAGTGAACTAAACTACTCAGATATCTATGCTATTTGTTATTTCATGTGTATATAACGGTTCTCACATACACCATCATCTTGCTAGCTAGGAAATGTTACCCATACCTCCTGTAGTCTTCGAATAAACCTTCGAACTAGTAATGTCTTCTTTCTCATACGCTGTTGATTGAAAATACACAAAATATAGAGAGCTAAATATAATTATCACCAGATTCTGTCAAAACTAGGAACATAATGTGTAAATTACTATTAATTTTCGTTAGGTGGTTAGAGGTGAGCAACAGAAAACCTTAGATCTGTGTTCCTTTTTATTTGACACCCAAGTGACACGGGATCGAACTCGTAAGGAAGCATCAATTCTATTAAAGTTGTCAATTACTTCGAAGCAGCTAACAGTTTGAAATCATGAGCGCAATATAAAGATAATTAGATAGACAGATAAATTGCAATTCGATCGACCGGATTGAACGACCAGACACGAATAGTACTGGTCAATACTCGTTGATCAATCAGTTGTGACCGTTAAATTATTGGTGTCAATATAAAACTAGCTGGATAAAACGTTGATACAGTCCTTGTTAGGCCACTACTGATTGAATACATAAAAGAACTAAAAATAGCTTTTTTGTAGGTTTTGACTGACATCATACTGAATTTCTTGGAACTACCTAAATATATTAGTAGTTTATAATTTTACAAGTATTTAACAACTTAGTACTTTGGATTTATTATTCTATATTCTCTGTTTTGTTTGTTTTTCACTTTTCATTCAGTTCTTTACTGTTTGCTAATTTTATGGGATAAACTAGACTTGACAAACATGACATTGATCACCATCCAGTGATCAACCAATTGTGATTACATCTCAGTCCTACAGGAGGTCGGTCGCGGCCCGAGTAGCTCAGCGGTAACGTCTTTGACTGTGAAGCTGGGTGACACGGAATCGAACCCGTCAGGGAGCACCAGTTTCCTCACGATTACAGGTACACCTTACTGACGAGTGCCAAGTAGTCCAGGGTTTCCTTTTGACTACCTCCAACCACCATCTCTCAACATAGTGCACGCGGTGTCGAGTCACCTAGACTAAAGGTCAAATTGCAGCTTGGTCGATAGCATTCGATCTGCACTAAGAAGGACTTGACACACATGACATTGATCACCACTCAGTGATCATTCAATTGTAATTAGTCTTATTATTTATATCCATATGAATTATTAAATTTCTTAGTGAATGATTTTGATTGATATCTTCAGTTTTTAAATCTTAATTATTGATAATACTTTTTACTGTATTGAAAACAGATCACTAAATTTGATGAGCTTGTTAAAAAATAAACAAAACTATCTGTTTTATTTATACTCGATCATGTAAAATATTAAAGAGGAAAAATGTATTTGTAAAATCTCAGCGAATGAATTTGAAGTAAATCCAACGTTTCGCCTGGCAGTCTGGTCCAAGCAATTGATTTTAATGGCGCATGAATCATTCAAAAAGGCTTTAATTCTTACAAAGAACTACTAACGGCCGAGGCCCTACATATATGGGCTAATTCAAACAGTATTAATAGGGGAGATGGGATACAATTAGCTGTCCCATGGCAACTAATAATTAATAAGTAAACCTGAATTCCTTATTCCATTCTATCTATCTATATCATATTAACTAATCAATAGATAATACATTCAACGGTTCAAATCAGTTATCGTATCTGAATATGTTAAATAATTGACGGGAACATTAAAATAATACAAATTTTTCAATTACAAATACATTCCTCTTTGAATTCAGTCTATTATCTTGTTTATTTACCTTCATTTAATGCATGCTGTGACATTTTGATTCATATCATATATAAAATGATGTTTTCGTAATATACGCATACTGAAGACAATATATAGTTGAATGAAATATCTTCTCACATCACTTACGTAGACACACAATCTGTTATCTTTACGCTTTTCGTTTTTACGCTAAGTGTCTCATACGCACTAATATAAATACCTACTTCATAATGTTCACGTTGATTGGATGACTTATTCAGTATACAGTAAACGAGAGAACCGTGTACCTATTTATATTCGATAATTTTTTTGTTTGATTATATTTTCCTTGAAAAAGCTTGGACCAGACTGCCAGGCGAAACGTTGGATTTACTTAAAATTCATTCGCTGAGATTTTACAAATACATTTTTGCTTTTTAACTCGGAGTATAAATATTGTGAAACTATTCGTTCAAATTTAGACGAAAGTTCTTACTTATGGATCATGTAAACTTTCGAAATAAAATTCTTATTTTGTGGTAATCACTGATTGATTTCCAAATGGATTCTCCTCAAATTTTTTTGCAAAATCATGACTAGTGAAATGCATTTATGTCAAGTAGTTAAAGTGTTACTCACCAATTGGGTTTGATTGGTTGTTTCACTAATTAAGCGTTAGTTGTTGGATTACAATGTCGTGATCAAAACCTCTCTTACTGTAAGATTTTAATGTGTTACATTCAATCTTTGATAGATCTTGAGTAGGGAGATCAGCTACAATTTATGGTAGTTTTTTTGTTAAACAGTTTTTGTTTGTGAATCAAAATTTTTAAATTTACATTCAATACGCAAACGATCCAAACACTAGATATTCAAAATATTGCCATAAAAGAAAAGGCAAAACTAAAAGCCAATAACAAATATTTCTAAAAAAAATTGTCTATTAAAATTAGCGTATAATTCAAATGTGCGAAAAATTAGTTAATTGTCAATCAAAAGACATATAAATAAAATCAGTACGGGGATTTGTGGTGATTGTCCTATTTGCGCAGTTGAATTCATGAGTCGATTTAATCTAGACCACCATTTAAAACCCGGAAGCGCTTGAAGACCGTTTCATCCTAGGATGGGACTTATCAACAGTGCGCATCCACGATCCCACAAATGTGACACGAACCCAAGACCTTTGGTCTTGCGCGCAAACAATTAACTTCTAGACCACTAAGCTGGCATCCAACGGTAATAATGTCTAACTTCCATCAATATATGGTCTTGCGTAAACATTTATTCATTGCCTGAGGTGGATGACTGCCTCACATCCGACATGGATTGAACTTAACTAGTCGAGGCTTCTCACTTGAACTCCAGTAGTTACATCCTCAAGCTAGTCATTAATTTGCACATAATTGTTATCAGTATGGGAATTCGTGGAGACTGTAATATTTTTATAGTTGAAATCATTAGTCGATTTAAGCTAAACCACCATTGAAAACGTACAAGAACCACACGGCCTTTTTACATTTGTATAAAACTTCTTGCACACGGGACTTGAACCCAAGCAAAGAAAAGTAAATTTTCAAAAAATTCTGTTCATAGTAAAACATTACATTTTGTTTATTTGTTGTCCACCAATACATTTCTTTATTTTTTTTTAATAATATATCCCAAGGAATATGATTATGCGAAGTTTTACCGTTTAATGACGAAACCAGCAAGAATATTTGATGGACGTATTATATTAAATCATAAACAATTAAGTCAAATAGGTTTTATTGTTGAAGTAATTGGTATTGCATCAGAAAGTTTTACCATGAATGGTTATGTTGAATAATAATATTAAATAGTAATAATACAACTTCATATATTAGTTATTATTACTTTTATTTATGACGTCAGCGTTGACCTTCTATGTTTTTATTTATTTATTTTATCTTTCGTTTCTTTTTATAGTATTTTGTTGATTTTGATTCTTATGAAATGTAGAATATTGACTATAAAGGAATTTCTTTAATAATGACTGCATATTAGTTCTTTTTGTGATCTGTTAAAGCATGTATATTCACATATCTGATTTATGATATTTTTTATTACAAAGCCCCCCCCTCAAAGAAAACGACATGAAACTGAGACCATTCTATCTGTAGCTACACTCTAGTCTGCTTTCATTTTGTATGTTTATGTATATGTGCTTTATTCACACATATCCATTATCTGAAGATAGACAATATATTGTCAATTTATGCACACCTATTTTGTATTATTCAAAATTGTATTTATGCCAGTATATAGTGTCTATTGAATGTTATATTAATGTACTGTTTGTCCTCAGGGACTTGTGTTCTTTTTTCAGTTTAAGGACAATATAATTCTCTAATTTATTTTGTACTCTGAAATAATTTCCACTGTTAGCTTATTTATGCATAATTTATTTTTATTACTGATAACTTATGCAAGTGTAATCTTTAAAAAATGATGACAACACACTTTTCTTACACCTTTATCCTTATTCTAATACACAGGAACGTTTAACTTTAATAAGCAAGATATTATTGATACTACTGTGGTGTGGGCTACTGATGTCGAAATATATAAGTAGTATGTATTTACAATCGAAAGTGGAATGCCTAACGGCAAAAGATTGAGAAAATCGAATAGAAGGGAACAAGAACAGAGAGTGATTGTATAAAAGCGAAGGAACAACAAATTCTGAAAGAATTGATGGATATTTTACAGATGAAGTATTTACTGTATGGTTCTCAAATTTTACCAAGATATTCTGTAATGTTGTATTAAATTACATTTATCTGTCTCCACCTGTGTTCTCGTTAACTACACTACTACTGCTAATATTACTACTAATAATTATAATCATAAATCGATTCTCGATTGTCATGTTCTTCTCTATCACTTGTAATTTCTTCTGTAAACTGCTAACCATTGAAATAGATAATGACCCAGTGATTTATTCTGACCGAATGATTATTATTTCAACAGTTATTTTGATTTATTTCAAATTGTGTCTACTTTCATTCATTTCTTTTCTTGTTTTCTATTTTATAAATCATTCCTGTATATTTTATTACAGTAAATTATCTGTGAATCAGTTGTGATGATGTCTTTTATTAAAAATGTACAAATCATAAAAAAAGATTTACTTTCTTGCATAACAATAGTACTGTTTTATTGTATTGTTGACCATCTGAAATAATTGTAGGTATCATTACCAAGGTTTGATTTGATAATTTCGAATAAATTGAGCATTGGGTTGATTGTTATAAATAAATAATATATTTGTAATATCCCAATGAGTAGAAAATTAGATTTTCTGATGTTTCATGACTTAGTGTAAGTCACTTCTTCAGAGAATAAATAACCAAATTTAAAATTAATCCAAGTTGAAATAGTACAACGGAACAATACAAGAATAATATTTGACCAATCAAAAACAGGTCTGGACAAGTTGATGCCATGTCATTTTTGTCAAGGTGATTCATAAGTCATTAAAGAGAAAAAATGTATTTGTAAAATCTCAGCGAATGAATTTTAAGTAAATCCAACGTTTCGCCTGGCAATCTGGTCCAAGCTTTTTCAAGGAAAATATAATCAAACAACAAAATTATCGAATATAAATAGGTACATGGTTCTCTCGTTTACTGTATACTGAATAAGTCTTCCAATCAACGTGAACAATGTTTAAAGTAGGTATTTACATTACTGTGTAAGAGACTTGTGTTATGAAAAAGGAAAAGTGTTAAGATAACAGATTGTGTGTTTACGTAAGTGATGTGTGAAGAAATTTCATAAGTGATATGTAAATTTGTGGGTGTACGTATGTGTGCATTGTTGAAGAAAGAAAAATTGTGTGACCTTTATGGTAAGGAAGGATAGAGTTTAAATTTGTAAATATGATCAGACTGAATGGCTAGGATAAATGGTTTAAGTAGGATGCATGGTAAGGCTTTCCTTTCTGTTGAGAGAAGTAGGATTAAACATTATATGGAACGCCTCAGCTACACTCCTTTCTTTGTAGTTGGAAAAGCCTTTTTGCAATATTTTGATATTTTTAAAATCGATTTGGTGGTTGTTGAAAATGGCATGAACTGCCATTGCCGATTTAATTTGAAGTTGGTTCAATTCTACAGGATTGTTAGGAGGCTTCTTTGTGTACCTGATATGTTCTTTGGCTCTAGTCAAGATTTCGCGGGATGACTCTCCAATATAATAGGCATCACAATCGATACAACCTAATTTGTAGACGCAGTTCTGTGTGTACATGAAAGGGATTTTGTCTTTTAGGCGAACTAAAGTATTACGTAGTGTGTTCGTTGTTTTGTAATATACTTTAATTCTTGAAACACCCACAAATTTACATATCACTTATGAATCACCTTACTGAAATGACATGCATTAACTTCTTCAGACCCTTTTTTGATTGACCACATATTATTCTTATTGTTCCGTTGTACTATTTCAACTTGGATTAATTTTAAATTTGGTTATTTATTCTCTGAAGAAGTGGCTTACACTAAGTCACGAAACATCAGAAAATCTAATTTTCTACTCATTGGGATATTACAAATATATTATTTATTTATTCTAGTGAATTGTGTTCATTTTTTAAAAAGTAGTTTAGTGTTTATTATGCATTGAATATTGTTGTTTTATATATCAACTAATTGCATATTTAAACAAGGAAGTTTATCAGTCAGTGTAGATGAAACATTTAGACAAATAAATTTGATTATTTATACTTATTTTTCATCAATCTAAATAATAGAAATATAGTGAAAATCTGAACATGTTTACGAAAAACATCATTGAAATCTTAATGTACAGCGATTTTAATATGTTGACAACAAAATAATTTTTTTGTTTTATTTGTGAAATAATCTCAGCGATTAAAATTTAAATAATTCCAACGTTTCGTCCGGCCAACTTATCTGGACTTCTTCAGGGTAATAATCAAAATCATCAAAGAAATATATAGCTTTTAACAATCAAAACTATACTGTGTTAAACCAATCAAATTTGGATGTTGATTTTTTGTAAATATAATTTTCACATATAATGACTTCTCTATATTTCTGTCAAACTATTCGTTCTAATCTTGACGAATATTCGTATAAATTTTTTGTTTCGTTTATAACCCCACTGGCAACTAGACTTTCTTATCTTATTATTTGATATAAAATACTACGAAAGTTATATTTATTTATTGATCAGTTTAATTAGAGTATCACTTTTATTTGGTCGTATCATTAGTAAAAAAAGATGAAAAACATAACTCATTTTTGGTGTAGTAGATTGTAGGACTTGTATATTTTCATTTATTTGTCTTTAAAAAGTATTCGTTGCTTAGGTTATATTTAATTTTTAAAAAAAACATTCGTGTGACTATATTGTAAAGTTTCAATCTTTACTTTCCAAGCGAACAAGATATTTTAGTACAAGTTTCAAATAAATTCTCATTCAGTAACTGTTATTATGATGTAATTGAACTTCACATTTTTCTTCCAATTTTTATTTCTGAACTTATGTATTGTAGTATGGAATTCTTCTATTACTTTGTTGATAGATATGAGAGATTTCTTTATTTAGATGAAATTAGTTCACTAAACAAAGTATTCTGACTATATCTTAAGCTATTCAGTGATGAACATATTAGCTAACTATTTATCAATGATACTTTCACAGTGCAACTCTTAAAAATAGACTTATAAACAGAGATATTATCATGCATCACAGAAACAGTAAATAACTTCGAACACTTCATTTCTATTTGGAGTTTATACTGATGATATCGTGTAGAATAGCAATGAAAGCTTCATAACCAACCATCCAGCTCAGTGAACAAAATTCCACCTAATAAGTTACAGTTTGATTTTTTTGTATTATGTGATGTTTAGAATATATATAACTTTTTCTGATGATTTAACTCTAACAAAAGCGTTTAGATAGCTAAAATGTACTCGTTTAGCTTTAATGACACGAATAACCTGTTGACTTAGTTATAAACAAGATTTTTCAGTAAAGTAGTTAATATTAATTTATTTTAACACATAGGTATAGGTACATGGAGGCACCAAGTACATATGCGCCACACGAATCTCAATTGATTTGTGTGAGGGCTGTGATACTGCCCGGCTCCCAAACCGAAGCAGGTGGTTTTCTTAGGGGGCCACACCCCGAGCCTTCGACCTGAACGTCTAACCCACAAGGCAGTGGAGCATCGTGAGGAGATGCAGTCCCATGGTAGCCGGTGACCAACGATTGGTTCATACGCCATTTGATCCTTCAGGATACTGGGGCCCATGTGCACCATTGATTTGGGATCCGGTTAAAGCGCCAGACATTCGCTTTTCGTCCTCTCATTTTCGTAAACAACATCCCCGCCACGAGAAGGCAGTGAGTAGGACTTCCCTGGCAGAGGCTATATACGCGTGGCCATGTGAGAGTTTTTCGAGGGGGAGAGCGGACTCTCCCCACTCTCGGCCGTACCAGGGCATTTGAGGGCAAAGTAGTTAATACCTGTGTTACTAAGCAATTTTAAATGTCATAACTTTTACAAATGGACATAATTCCTCACTTTTAATTTAATTGATTTTCCAAGTCATAAATAATACTATACAATTTTTATAATCTCAAATCACTTCTACTTAAAAGAAAAATTGGAGAATTATGTATGCATACTGCTGAGTAGTCCCATACTAGAATGAAATGGCCATCCAGTGCTTCCAGGTTTTCCATAGTGATCTAACTTCAATTAACTCATGAATTCAACTATTAAAATTCAGAATATGACTTATATATAAAAGATTATTCTTCTTATAA